TCGTTGTTGTGGGAGACCTTGCCTGAGGCGGGGTTTCTTGTATGACCCGACTGTTGTCCACCAGGCTTTGTGGAAACGATCCATTGTTTGCTGCGTTTGCTTTGTTTTGTGTTGAGCTACATATTTGAGATTTTATGTTCAAATATTTCTTTTCTTGGAGCGATCACCGATTACATCTTCTTTCTGTTTCACATTTACCGGCTGTAAAAATCTAACGGTTGTTTCTGTTTGTTTGCCCACTTCTGGATTTTAATCTTTTTTCCAGAACTTTAAATTTGCGTGCATATCAGTTTTACAGATCTGGCTTATATGTTTGCATACTGTTGGTTCCTTGCAGGCGCGTCTACTTCGAAGGAACCCCTAAAGTCGACTCTAACGACATGCTTGTTAGGGAAACAGGGGGTTTAGTCTTCCCGTTCCCCAGCAGGGCCCCGGAACAACCCTTAGATGCTCCGTCTCCCGCAGCAAATGATGATAGGAGACTCGCTTTCAAATCCAGCTGCGACTTGCTGCGGCCCACGACCGGTGTCCAAAACCAGACGGTTCTCGGGATTCACCCAGTCTGTAATGGGTACCCGAGTTAACAATTTGGGGTAAATGGAGAAACGTCGCTGTAGCTACGGAGTTGCGTGCTGACGGCGGCACAAGCGGACAGTTTCTAATCAGCTGTCCGTACTAGTGTTAGAGCACTTATGGTTTATAACCATGTGCAATGACGTTGGTTAACATCTCCCGACTTTACATTCTCTCTCTCTCTCTCTCTCTCTCTCTCTCTCTCTCTCTCTCTCTCTCTCTCTCTCTCTCTCTCTGTCTCTTCCGAATCCATTTCTACTTAATTCCACGATCACACATTCTTACACATGTTATCTTCATCTAACCTCATGTCTTCTATCAGTAATCATTCATAGATAGCCTTCATAAATTTCTCGTTTTTCCAGTTCCTGTGTCTCTTTTAGATCTGCCTGTTGTAGCCAGAAAATTATCTCTCTCATTCTCTTGTGCTCCTTCTTGACTGTCCATGATGACGATACCCGGATACACAGAATTGTTCAGTATATTAAAAGTCAAAATAATGGTAATTAACGACCTATTGATGCGATAGTAACATTTGTTGCCCAGTAGAGTCCGCATTCTACAATCAAATCTCTGTGCACGACGCAATTTTTTTCCGGGAATTTTTTTTTTAAAGCTCACCACTGGCCGACTACCCCACAAAAACCCTTATGCGACCCCTTCTGGGACCTCGAACCATGGTTGGTAATCTGTACTCTATGTCTGTCTACAACTCTTACTTTTCTCCCATGCTGCTATCCGATGAATTCTCTATCTATTCATGTCTTATCCCAGATTCAAATTGTCTGATATACCTTTTATCAGCCCGCCCCGACGGTGATTTGAACACATTTCCACCAGGCCGGCAGACTAGCGTGTTAGTCACCGCACTACCGCGGTTCCCCTACTTTTACAAGCGAATGCGTAAATTCGAATACCCGGTAGGAAGAAGGATCCTCTAACTCCCAAGTGAGTCTCAAATTGAAAGGTTTCAATCGATCCAGCCTTTACTTGATTAAGTATTGCTCGGACTCCAGACTTATCAGGTCTTATCGTCTGAACGCCACATTTGTTTTCTGTCGACCACAGTAGACCGGAATCAATATAGTTTTTATGTCGTTTTAATTCTAGTAATTAACTGAAGCCTTTGGTACAGGAGCTGTTGGTGGGATATGTAGCCTTTGCTACAGGAGCTGTTGGTGGGATATGTAGCCTTTAGTACAGGAGCTGTTGGTGGGATATGTAGCCTTTGGTACAGTAGCTGTTGGTGGGATATGTAGCCTTTGCTACAGGAACTGTTGGTGGGATATGTAGCCTTTAGTACAGAAGCTGTTGGTGGGATATGTAGCCTTTAGTACAAGGGTTGTTGGTGGGATATGTAGCCTTTAGTACAGGGGTTGTTGGTGGGATATGTAGCCTTTGGTACAGGGGTTGTTGGTGGGATATGTAGCCTTTAGTACAGGAGCTGTTGGTGGGATATGTAGCCTTTAGTACAGAAGCTGTTGGTGGGATATGTAGCCTTTAGTACAGGGGTTGTTGGTGGGATATGTAGCCTTTAGTACAGGAGTTGTTGGTGGGATATGTAGCCTTTAGTACAGGGGTTGTTGGTGGGATATGTAGCCTTTAGTACAGAAGCTGTTGGTGGGATATGTAGCCTTTAGTACAGGGGTTGTTGGTGGGATACGTAGCCTTTAGTACAGGGGTTGTTGGTGGGATATGTAGCCTTTGGTACAGGGGTTGTTGGTGGGATATGTAGCCTTTAGTACAGGAGCTGTTGGTGGGATATGTAGCCTTTAGTACAGAAGCTGTTGGTGGGATATGTAGCCTTTGGTACAGTAGCTGTTGGTGGGATATGTAGCCTTTGCTACAGGAACTGTTGGTGGGATATGTAGCCTTTAGTACAGTAGCTGTTGGTGGGATATGTAGCCTTTAGTACAGGGGTTGTTGGTGGGATATGTAGCCTTTAGTACAGGAGCTGTTGGTGGGATATGTAGCCTTTAGTACAGGGGTTGTTGGTGGGATATGTAGCCTTTAGTACAGGGGTTGTTGGTGGGATATGTAGCCTTTAGTACAGGAGCTGTTGGTGGGATATGTAGCCTTTAGTACAGGGGTTGTTGGTGGGATATGTAGCCTTTAGTACAGGAGCTGTTGGTGGGATATGTAGCCTTTAGTACAGGGGTTGTTGGTGGGATATGTAGTCTTTAGTACAGGGGTTGTTGGTGGGATATGTAGCCTTTAGTACAGGAGCTGTTGGTGGGATATGTAGCCTTTAGTACAGGGGTTGTTGGTGGGATATGTAGCCTTTAGTACAGGAGCTGTTGGTGGGATATGTAGCCTTTAGTACAGGGGTTGTTGGTGGGATATGTAGCCTTTAGTACAGGGGTTGTTGGTGGGATATGTAGCCTTTAGTACAGGAGCTGTTGGTGGGATATGTAGCCTTTAGTACAGGGGTTGTTGGTGGGATATGTAGCCTTTAGTACAGAAGCTGTTGGTGGGATATGTAGCCTTTGGTACAGTAGCTGTTGGTGGGATATGTAGCCTTTGCTACAGGAACTGTTGGTGGGATATGTAGCCTTTAGTACAGAAGCTGTTGGTGGGATATGTAGCCTTTAGTACAGGGGTTGTTGGTGGGATATGTAGCCTTTAGTACAGGGGTTGTTGGTGGGATATGTAGCCTTTAGTACAGAGGCTGTTGGTGGGATATGTAGCCTTTGGTACAGTAGCTGTTGGTGGGATATGTAGCCTTTGCTACAGGAACTGTTGGTGGGATATGTAGCCTTTAGTACAGGGGTTGTTGGTGGGATATGTAGCCTTTAGTACAGGGGTTGTTGGTGGGATATGTAGCCTTTAGTACAGGGGTTGTTGGTGGGATATGTAGCCTTTGGTACAGGGGTTGTTGGTGGGATATGTAGCCTTTAGTACAGGAGCTGTTGGTGGGATATGTAGCCTTTAGTACAGAAGCTGTTGGTGGGATATGTAGCCTTTAGTACAGGGGTTGTTGGTGGGATATGTAGCCTTTAGTACAGGGGTTGTTGGTGGGATATGTAGCCTTTAGTACAGGGGTTGTTGGTGGGATATGTAGCCTTTGGTACAGGAGCTGTTGGTGGGATATGTAGCCTTTGCTACAGGAGCTGTTGGTGGGATATGTAGCCTTTGCTACAGGAGCTGTTGGTGGGATACATTGACAGCTGTTTAGTTGTTACTTCTATCAGGTATATGGGCAAGGCTTGAAGTCTGTGTGCCCATCGGTGCTTTGATCTTGTTGTTTGTAATGGTTGAGGTTGTAATTATAGTAGCTGTTGTTGTTATTGTAGTTGTTGTTGTAGTTGTTGTTGTGGTGGTAGCTCTTTTTCTTCTTACCTTCTGTTTCTGTTTCTTCTTCTTCTTCTCCTTTTCTTCTTTTTCCTCTTCCTTCTCTTCTTCTTCATCCTCTTCGTCCTTTTCCTTCTCTTCTTATTTGTCACCTTCTTCTTCTTCTTCCTCCTCCTCCTCCTTCTTCTTCTTCTTCTTCTTCTTCTTCTTCTTTGGTATAGTTTTTTTCCTTCACTTTCCATGTAGTCCACATTGTAGTTTATCTTATTAATCTCAAGGTAGTTCACATATAGTTATCTTTTCAATCTCTAGGTAATCTACAAATAGTATATTTCTTCAGTCTCCAAGTAGTCCACATATTGTTTACCTCTTTAGTCTCTAGGTTGTTCACATATAGTTTACCTCTCCAGTCTCTAGGTTGTTCACATATAGTTTACTTCTTCAGTCTCTAGGTTTTTCACATATATACTTCTTCAGTCTCTAGGTTGTTCACATATAGTTTACCTCTTTAGTCTCCAGGTTGTTTACATATAGTTTACTTCTTCAGTCTCCAGGTTGTTTACATATAGTTTACTTCTTCAGTCTCCAGGTTGTTTACATATAGTTTACTTCTTCAGTCTCCAGGTTGTTCACAGATAGTACACAAATAGTTTATACTGTTTATTTCTAAGACCTCAGTCAGTTCATATATTGCCGGTGTGTTACTCAACTCATGGACAGCACCCTACCAGGCATGTCATTAAGAGACAACTAAGGGTAGGTTTGGGCATGGAGCTGGCTACCTTATCCTGTGAAATTAATAGCGACCCAAAAAAACCCCCAACAAACTATGGAGAAGTTAATAAAAAAGAGAAATGGTAATACATAGCCGGCCCAGATGGGCAGAGGATCTTCTACTAGAATAGTGATGACGCTGAGTGGAGAAAGCCGAAAGGAGTCCAGTATAACTTTGTACATGGAGAAGGGAACTAGGGAGTACAGTTGAAAAAGATAGAGGAGACATGGGGTGAGCTGCAAGCAATAGAAAAGGATAAGGCGACTTAGTGTGAGTTGGTTGAAGGCTTGTGCTCCATTAGGGGATAAAGTGTGGGAGACAAAGTCTGTGTACTCTTTTTAAAATGTTTTTAAATCTGCAGATGGACTGCTGACCCACGAGAAGGAGGATGTCATGAACAGAGTTATGTACCTGGAGAAGCGAGTCCAACAGCAGGAAGATGAGATCATCTGCCTCAAGTCTGCCGTGGCAGATGTCATCCGAAGGTTGAGCTCTGTAGAGACATGTGGGTTTGTTTGTTTGTTTGCTGTCAGGGACACAGTTTTCTCCCTTCATTCATTCATTCATTCATTCATTCATTCATTCATTCATTCATTCATTCATTCATTCATTCATTCATTCATTCATTCATTCATTCATTCATTCACTCACTCACTCACTCACTCACTCACTCACTCACTCACTCATTCATCCATTCACTCACTCATTCATTCATTCACTCATTCATTCATTCAATAATTAATTAATTAATTCATTCATTCATTTACTCATTCATTCATTCATTCATTCATTCATTCATTCATTCATTCATTCATTCATTCATTCATTCATTCATTCATTGTCCTATTGAGCCATTATATGCCACATTGGGCTCACAGTCTATTTCTCGGTTCCTGTCTATCCTGTGCAGTTATTGTTATGCTGAATGGCATCCTTTCCTGCAAATTTCTGTAGCGAAGAAATATTCTTTACATGGTGGGGGATCTCATCCATGCCCAACCCTCCTCCTTTCTCATCCAGGCTTAGGACCGCTGAGACCGACAATGACGGATAGTGAAAGTTTGTTGAGTGTTATTAACATATCACCACTACCACCAGTATCATCATTATCATCACAGTTTTTATCTTCATAACCGTTATCATCACCACTAACACCAGTATCATTATTATCTCTGCTAACATCATCATTATCATCACTTTTACCTTTATCATCTGTACTAACATTGTCATTATCATATCATCACCACTAACACCATTATCATTATTGTCTTTACTAACATCGTGTCATCATCAATGTTATCTTAATTTTTGTCATCATCAATATCATCACCAACATCATTATCATCTCAGCTAAAATCGTCATAAACATTATAACTTTTACCTTAATTTTTGTCATCATCAATATCATCACCAACATCATTATCGTCTCAGCTAAAATCCTCATAAACATTATAACTTTTACCTTAATTTTTGTCATCATCAATATCATCACCACCAACACCATTATCACTCATATCATCATCCTTATCATCACTGTTTCCTTCATTAGGTGACAGCAACATTGAACTTTATGTCTCTGTTCGTTAGATGGTGCTAGGTGCTGCATGCACATTCGCAACACAGAAACAAATTGGCAACTGTACTTACAGAGTGTATCCTCAAAGAATAAGGGGCTGTTGTGCATTTATATGTGCAAACAGGCTTTCTGCAAAGGACATTTGTAAGGAAATGCTTTCTGTTTATAATGACAAATGTTTATCCCGTAAAGCGGTGCACTGAAAACCCACCTTGGCGGGAGACATTTTGCAAATGACGCAGAAGTTGAATGTGAAGTGAAAATGTGATTTAGAAAACAGAGCACACAGTAGGTTTGGGAGGACTGATAAAACAATGGGACAAGGGTATCAGTGTTGGTGGAAATTATGTTGAAAATTAAAGAGACAGTGTATGTGTAAAAATAAATAGTTTTCAAGCTGTAATCGTTTTTTTTTTAAACAACCATTTGTGACTTACTTATTGTTGACTTGCCCTTTTATAAACATGTTTTTTCAACACCTGAACTCTTGCTAAAATCATCATCATCAGTCAGCTGGTCTTTCACAGAACACCTGTAAATATCTCTCTTTCTGTAGTCAGTTTTCCAGCCCTATGTGTTTTCATCACCACAGCATCTTTAGTGTCTTATATCCACCCCTGTGAAGGTTGGCCTCTGCCTTGTTTTCAGAAACTCTACTGCTTTCTCCAGGTGAGCATAACATTTAACATGGCCAGAATACTTCAGCTTTCGGGACAGGATGCTGTTTATGAGCCCTATGTGTTTTCATCACCACTGCATCTTCAGTGTCTTGTATCCACCCCTGTGGAGGTTAGCCTCTGCCTTGTTTTCAGAAACTGTACCGCTCTCTCCAGGCCAGCCTAACGTTTAACATGGCCAGAATACCTTAGCTTTCGGGTCAGGATGCTGTTTATGAGCCAGTCCACCTTGATGCTCAGATCATGTGGGATGTCAGTGTTTCTCTTCTTTCATGGTATTCTAAGAATTTGTCTTTAGCAATTCACTTCAAAAGCTTCAGTATCTTTCTTTAAAGATTCGTAAGTCCATAACTCACATCCCAAAATTGTGTGGGTTCCGGAGCCCTATAGTGGGGAAAACAATAATAAACCCACTGCCTCCCCAACTAGCATGTCGTAGGAGTCGACTAACTAACTTTCTTCGAAGTCGAAATGCATCTGCACGAGTGGCAAGGAACAACTAACTGCACACAAATGAGCCAGTAAAATGGATGTACACACAAAACTCAGGCCTTGGCACAAAGCCGAAGTCCAAATGGAGGAACAACCAGGACTTTCCGTCGGAGCTTATAGCCGGTGAACAAAGAAGAAGAATAAGAAGATATCCATTAATTGCCACAGGAAAGGTGCACTGTCTGAACATTTTTGATTTGAACTCACTTACAGGTGCCATGCCGTAGGTTCTTCATGCTGTTTAGCCCTCGCTGAGAAACATTATATTAATCTTCCCCAGCTGGTCAGAACTCTTCCTTCCAAACTCGCAGCCACACGAAAACACCACACAACAGACGTCGCTCCACAACAGCCTTACCAACTGCAACCAGCAAGAACCACCAGAATGCCTTGGACAATGCTCATGTAGTCCCACACCGAAATGCCCCATCTTCCGCTCGAGCTGTACCCAAAAGCACCAGGCTCTCCGCTGCCCATACCCTCTCGAAGTGGTCTTCCTTGGCGACATCATCAGAAATGTCCAATTCCTTACTAACACCTACCTCGTGAGTATGCACTTGGTTCTTTTGAATTGCCTTAATATTGTTCTTTTTGATGACTTGTCAATATGGAGGATAGGCAGGTTTACTGTTTTTTAGTTGGGACAAGTTTTTTCTTCTGACAAAAGTTGACATTGTATTTTCCTCCATATATAGACTGAAAAGAGATTGTTTCATCGTCCAGTTACTGAGTTGAGTACTGGTGCGACAATGTGAGCTTCTGATTTCATTTGGAGTGCTTTTCAGCTGTACCCACCATAGTTTATGTTATGAACTGAAGGTTTAGAAAATGGTGTGTGGCCTGCTGCCACAGAACTGGTAGTGTCTTATATGTTTAATCATGTGTGCAGCTACTAATCTGGTGTAACTTCTGGCTTCCATTGAAGATGCACTGCATTTATAGTGTTGGACTGTTTGTGTTGGCACTTTTAATGGCTGCTTTATGCATTTAGTGCATATCTGTGCTGTTGGATTTGATGAGGCTGTAGTATATTTCCCAGGATGGATAGTGATGGACTTTCTTTGTGGTTTTCATTGGCACAGGAATGGAGAACTATGGAGTGACTCATTTTCTTTGAAAGTGGAACTGCGATTATCTTGCCCTACCTGTTGTCCTTTATGTTGCCAAATTATTTGTAGTCCGTTTTTTTGTTGTTGTTTAGTTTGTATTGCAGGAAAGACTAAATAGAGTCAGTGAGGTTTATACAACATTGTCGTAAACAAATTGGGCTTACGTATTGCTTGATTGTTTGCAGTACTATTGGACTACTAGGCTGCCTTTCTGCATCATAGTGAAAATATATGTTATAAATCTGTCATCATGTGCCATGTTGAGTAGCACAGGCTAAAGTTCACCATCTCACACAGTCATCAAAGTCCCATCCCAGACCCACCCATGTGGATCCCGGGGTCCCATTGTGGGGGATTTAAAAAAAAAAGTAAACCTAAGGGCCACACACACACATCCCCCCCCCCCCCCAATTATAGTTTCGTAATAGGAGACTAATTGTGGGTGTTTCCTTTGAAGTCGGAGTGCATCTGCAGGAAAGGCTATGAACTAACAGTCTGCATACATATAAGCCAGATCTGTAAAATGAATGTGGACACAAAACTCAAGGTCTAGAACAAGACCGAAGTCCTGAAGTGGACAAACAACCAAAGCTTTCTGCCAAAGTTTACAGCCGGTGAACGCGAAGAAAAAGAAGAAGAAGAAGACAGTCCCAGACCAAGTCTGTATTTTGTGTTCCTATTATGATATGCGACCAAGCCACTAAGATATGTCTCATTTTTCTCATTTTCCTCTTCCTATACTGTATGGCCAGTTGTCTGTAAGTTTTCAAGTGCATTTGTTCTTGTGACATACCTCTCCAAACCCTCCCCCCCCTCCCCCCACCCTTACCAAATCGTGTGTTTAAGCATTAAGTAGCTTCAAAAAGCATCCCTTATATACTTAACCACAGCCAGCTTCAGATATAAGGCCGTACAGCTCAAACGAGAATTCCCGTTTTTGTGAGGCTGGTGTGGCTGGTGGGTGGTAACAATTGTTGTCGAGTAGATTTATACACACATTGAACTGCAGTTTAATTAATTTGCAACATATGTTATTGAATGAATTTTTATTTTGAAGATAAATAAATGGGCTATTAGAAAATATTTATCTTCAGAATGATAATCCATTCAATAACACTTGTTTAAAACTAAATAAATTGTAGTTCAAATTGTCTATATAAATCTACTCGATATCAATTGTTACCTCCGACCGGCCACGCCAGCCTCACAAAAATGGGAATTACTGTTTGAGCTGTACGGTTTACGGTGTACGGCTTGACATATCATGTATAAGGTGCTAAACTGGTATTTTTATAGATGGAAAATAGAATGGCTTGACAGGAGTTGGTTGAGGTCCTTTGCTCCAGTGGGAAATGAAGGAGAAGAAAGAGGAATGAAGAAGGCATTTGATTAGTGGGTAAACCAAGAACAAGGGAGAACTAAGGAGAAAAACTAGATTATTATGGCCTAGAGAGAATGATGCACTTAGGTGTAACCGGAGGGTCTGGCCAGCTCACTACACTCAGAGGAAATGCAACCAAACTAAAACTGGTGCCATTAGAATTGGAACTGCGCTGGCTGCTGAAGATGGGGACGGAGCAGATATAGGAATGCCCTGAGTGCTGTGATGTCAATTCTTGAATCAACTCAACTCAGCACTCAGCAAAGAATTAAGGGTAAATGTAGCAACCAACTCATGCAGGTGTTCAGTGGCGATTAGTTTATATCTAAAAAGTACACCACAATAACAATGATATTGATTTTTACACCCATATCACGCACACACACACACATACGCACACATGCACACACACGCACACGCATGCACACACATTTAAATAATTACATTAGTCATATTCAGTGTGCAGGCAGATATCTACTGATGTTATCTGAAAAGTGGTTGTATCCACTGTCCACAAAATACAGACTATGGAAGTGTGTGTATAGGATTGCCTTTAATGCAAGCGATCTAACACTGACATTTATTTATTGTTATTTGGTGAGCAGCACACATTTTATAAGTTGACAAGTATTGTGTGGTTCACAGGGTCACCTGTAATATATATCTCACATGACCACATTTATTCATTTGTCTTGAATATGCCACATTTGTTCATCAGGATAACACTATACATACCTTTGTTTGTCAGGGTAACTGTATATAACAAACTTTTTTTGGTCAGGGTAACAGTATAAGACAAACTTTTGTTTGTCAGGGTAACTGTATATGACAAACTTTTGTTTGTCAGGGTAACAGTATAGGACAAACTTTTGTTTGTCAGGGTAACTGTATATGACAAACTTTTGTTTGTCAGGGTAACTGTATATGACAAACTTTTGTTTGTCAGGGTAACTGTATATGACAAACTTTTGTTTGTCAGGGTAACTGTAAATGACAAACTTTTGTTTGTCAGGGTACCCATATATGACAAACTTGTGTTTGTCAGGATAACAGTATATGACAAACTTTTGTTCATCAGGGTAATAGTAATTGACAAACTTTTGTTCGTCAGGGTAATAGTATATGACACACTTGTTCATCAGGGTAATAGTAATTGACAAACTTTTGTTCGTCAGGGTAATAGTATATGACACACTTGTTCATCAGGGTAATAGTAAATGACAAACTTTTGTTCATCAGGGAAACAGTAAATGACAAACTTTTGTTCATCAGGGTAATAGTATATGACACACTTGTTCATCAGGGTAACAGTATATGACACACTTGTTTATCAGGGTAACTGTATGTGACAAATTTTTATTTATCAGGATAACAGTATGTGACAAACTTTTATTTATCATGGTAACTGTATTTGACCAACTTTTATTCATAACTGGGTAACTGTATATCACATACTTTTGTTCATCATGGTATCAGTATATCGTATACCTGTGATCATCAAGGTACATTTGTTCATTATTGTAACTACTATGGCTGAGGGTTGAGGGAGAGAGGGTGGGGGGGGGGGGAGGGGGGGGTCAATCCGATTGCAACTACAACTATTAGCATGTGAACTCCTCTTTGGCTACTAATGAAAGCGAAACAAGTGGGAGGTGGGAGTGTCTCAAGTGTAGTTATATCATTTCTGGAGTCATTCATTTTTCATTGGCCTGTAGCAAAATGGTCGTGGTTCTGGGATGTGCTGAATGAGTCAGTAACATGTAGGTGATAAACTCTTTCAACCCTATATGCCCCATATGCCTGAAGGAGTGGAAAATGGTTCTTTACTTTACTTTGCTTTTGTGCTGTAGAACCCAGTTTGGTTATTCTAATATCCAGCTTGGGGAGTCGCTGTTGCATTGGCGGCTAGATGCCCGCTTGTGGATCAGAAGGTTGTGGGTTCGCGTCCTGACGGAGCCGAACTTAAAAAAAAAAAGACCTTGACTCCTAGGTCGACCCAGCCTTGAGTGGGTACCAGGTGCAGTTCTGGAAAGTAAAGGCGGCCGGCGTGATGCTGACCACATCACCCTCCAAGTGCAGATTGGTCTATAAAAATATAGATCTAGCCCTATATGCCCAATATGATAGAGGCGTGGAAAAGGGACCTTTCAGTATCCAGCTTAGTATAGGATTTGCTCTGTCTGTTACAGTTATGCTCACACACTTTGTTTACATGCGTTGTGATTATAGTTTATCATCATCATCATCATCATCATATAGCAGGTTCTCAACATGGTCTGCCTGAAAGAAACTCGGTCTCTTGCCAGCTCTCCCACCTCATGCACTTTCATATTCAAGGAGTCACTTATATCTTGTGCCCATCTTTGTGTTGGTAGGCCCCTGCCCCTCCTTCCTGGTACCATGCCTTCTGGTATTAATTTGTGTTCAATCCTCCGTGATATGGCCAGAATGTTTCAGCTTTCTGAGACAAGATGGTGTTTATGGCTATAAATCCAATACCCCTGATATGAGAAAATAGGTCCTTTGCTGTAGCCTTTGAAACCATTGATGTGTAAGCTCAGGTGTAAATGCTGTAAGCTATGAAACAACATAATGACAGCACCTGTGGCACAGGTGTCTGAGGGACAGCATCTCACACTCAGATGGTGAACAACTAAACCTGGCCATGTCATAACTAGGGCAAGATCATAGTATTATAGTTGTACCATTTTATGTGGGAAAGGGGGAAGGGGGGTAATGGCTGTATGAATATGTGTGTGTACGTATATCTATATGTACGCTTTCATTTGTACGTGTACATATATGTGTGCATCATTTTTGTTTTTGTTTGTTTATATATGTGTATAGATCTGTGCCTATCTCTCACTTGATGTATAGATCTGTGCCTATCTCTCACTTGATCAATAGATCTGTGCCTATCTCTCACTTGATGTATAGATCTGTGCCTATCTCTCACTTGATGTATAGATCTGTGCGTATCTCTCACTTGATGTATAGATCTGTGCCTATCTCTCACTTGATGTATAGATCTGTGCCTATCTCTCACTTGATGTAT